CTAATATTATTATATATATATAATAATATATATATATATATATATATATATATATATACATATATACATGCAAAATGTAAGTAAAGAAATTATTAAACAATATGTTATTGTTATTAACAATATGTTATAGTAAATTGTATTTAAAAATATGTAATGTAAATTAAAAAATAATAACATATAATGTAATTTAAATTGACATTCTTTTATCTAACATCTATATAATTTGAAAAGTATCATAGTCTACATTTTCGTATTAAGATTTTCATCTCAAAATGATCTCAGGAACATGTCCTTAAAAGATATTATGATAGAGAGACATCCTATACATCTTATTTGAATACTGTGAAAACAATAAAAAGTAATTAAAAGAAATATTAGTATAATAATATCTTTTACATCAGTGTAATTAAATATGAAAATTATATAATAACATTAAATTATAGAAACTTTATTTTAATCTTTGTCTTTGTATGAATTATCCTTGTAATGCAGATAATATTATCAAATAATTTTTACATAATTATCAATAATTTTTTATTTATTCTTCAATACTTGTATCTCGCATTTGCTGAAGTATGTTAAACACCGAATAAGATGTTTTGAGTAACTGAAATAAAATTATAAATTAATTATCCTTTCAATTTTAGAACTGTTTTATAATAGTTACACTATGGACTATTATAAAGACATAATAACAATGTAATATGTATATTTTAAAAATTTGTATATATTTGCATAAAATTACACTAACAGCCACAAACGAATCGAGATTCATAGGGATAATATAAGCACTCGTAAATTCAATAGGAACGCTACCACATTTTGTGAGCATTAATAAATCTTTCCTTACATCCGGTTCTAATTGGAGCCATTCTATCTCGAATATATCATTTATTACTTTCAAACTCTACAATTAAAAATTTAAAGTATTTATTTATTCATTTCATAAATAATAAAAAAATAACTTCTCACACAACTAGCACTAATATTTTTAATATATTATTTTATATATATCAAATGTAAATATTAAAAGTTGAAAAACTATATATTAATAACATAATAATTATATTGTTTTTTAAATATTTTGTTTGGATAATATTAAATAACAAAATGTTCATGTTTATTAAAATGTATAAGAAATAATGACAGATATTTTTTTATTTTCTTTAAATATAACAAAATAAAAAACAAGCAAAATAGATCCATACAGCATACCTTCAGTCTGACTTCGTGTCCGTACCAACAATATAGAAAAATTTGTGTCAACATACATGACATGTACAAACCTAATTGAATGATTTTTGCATTTGCTTTGGTTAGTTCGTATAAAACAACACACACCACCAACGTACTTACTATAAATTGTAAGGTAATAATCAACCTAAACTTTTTATTTACAAATAGGGCAAACCTGAAATTAATCAAATATGTTATATATTGTAGATCTTATTCAAATATAAATAATATCTTTTACAAAAATTATAAGAATAACATTATACCTTTAAAAATTTATATTAAACGACGATATTATTTTATAACATTCTCATAACTTATATTTTATAGATTACATGAAATGAAATTATCCTATATATAATCTTAAACAGCAAAAAATTTTTAATTCTAATATAAATTTTATAAAATAAACCTGATCAGAAGGTTGTGTTGAATAACGCAATCGCGAAGAATTTTTGGAGTCTGTATAATTCTTTTCAAACGAGAATTCAATATTTCTATTTGACAACATATATGCAACAATAGTCCGCATATTATACTATCGCAAGCAACATGTAAAAAAGCTCCAACAAACAAGGCTATTAATTGATGGAAATATGTAAAGTGAAAAAGCACTGTTGTCGAATAATCGAATGGTAACCATGCTCTAAATGTTAATTTTTCCTCGCAGTAAGCCGTGAAAAATGATTGTACCGCCAAATAGGAGCATGAAAATTCAACTAGAATTGCATAATGCAGCGTGTTTATCCTGTAAGTAACTATAAACGGTTTTACATCTTATTTATTACTACCTTCATCAATATTGCCTGTTGCACTTTTTAATAAAAAATTTTATTTCCAAAAAAATTGATAAAAACTAATAAAAAATGATTGATAAATTACAAAATTTCCCAAAATGTATTAAATTAATTTGATAGAAAACAAAATACAATTGTAAAAAGATTAAGAATATCATTTATAATAATCTTTATAAATATTATAAAAGTTATACAATAGTATTTCAACTAATATTATTTTAAAACATTATTTTAAAAATTAATATAATATAATATATATCACAAAAAGATATAAAAAAGATAATAAAGTAGTTAATTCTAAATTGATTATAGCAAATTTAATAATTCAAGTAAAGAAAAATATAAGAAAAAGAGGATCATTTAACTTTTATATAAACAACAATTAAAAAGTTATTACGCCAAGATACTTACTCAATAATTTTATCAAATTTCTGTCGAATTTCTAATTCGTCATCTTCAACTGGTTTACATGGGTTTTTCGTAAGAATTTCCGTTAATAATACAATATTATTACGATTTATCAACAGGCTAAACATTTTAGAACAGGAAATTATCATGGCAAGCAATATATAAAAGTTATCGATAAAATCGTCTGCATTGTCCACGATTAGAATTAAATCCAAAAATTGTGATAGTGTAAACGTATTTATCAGTAGAAATATAAAAGTTGTATATGCGTAATACATTGCACGTTTATAAGGAGATGTCCAGGAATTCGGAATCCAGCAACCGCAGCTTGTTAGAATTTTAAGCGTAAGTCCTAATACACGCATTGTAATTTTAATTTTTGTCTGTTTTCCGTATATGATAAAAAAATAAACTGTTTAGCAGATATTCGCTCCCATTTATTTCGAAATTTCAAACATTGCAGATATATATATTACATATTAGATATATATTTCGTATAACATAATTGTAGGCACCACGTTTTGTAACAGCTAACAATTAAAACACATGGATGTCAATCAATAATTTTTTTCGAAAATGTCTTTGATTGAAATCGTACGCGAATACAGTGATATAGTTTTCACAGTGAAATCTTTAAAGAGACTGATAATATCGAATGTCTATAGATGTCTATATGTCACGCGATTTTCTGATAAAGATATTCTTCCTCTTTTATGAATAACGACTTTTATTATTTAAATTGAAATTGTATTCTTCAGATAATAGTTTTACATACATCAGCTAAAGAAAAATACAAATTGCTAGATGTAAATTCTGTATCACAATATTCTGTGTGATATAAAGCTTTATGAAAATAATATCACGAATAAAATGACGTTCTTTCTAGAGTTTGAGAATATAAGAATTCTAAATTGTCATCATAAATAATTGCATATATTTTGTTTATTCTGAAAAATATCTTTATTTTATATCGAGTGTATAATAGTACGTCGACAATAGCGAAAACTTTCCTTGTCTACATTGACTCTTACCAATTCTAACCAGATTAAAAAATTAAAATATCAGTATATACAATGTGATTTTATACAAAGTGATCAAACGATTTCTAAACATGCTAATATTAAAATATTGTTATAAAACAGCATCGTATTTTATTGTGAGTAAAAATTATTATAAAGATATTATTTCTATATTGTGTCGATAAAAGAAACTATTATATAATATTTATATTTCTCTATATGATAAATCTTAATACACAAAATTTATTTATTTATTAGTCTAATTTAACGTTTTACTTATTTTACATATTTCTTTCATTCAAATATTAGCAATTATATAAATATGGAATATAAACAATTTCTTTTACTCGTATTTTTTCTACAACTTTATTCCCGCATTTGTTAGGTACATTATAAACAGAATACGATGTCTTGAATAACTGCAAGCAAAGTTAAATAAAATCTCAATGCATTTAAAATTTACTTATTTTATATATTTATATTTTTGAAGAAAATAAATAACCAACTTTCTTAATTATTATGACATATAAAAATATAATATAATATAATATTATTTATACCAACATCCAAGTTTCAAATTTATAAATATAAGATAGAATAACTAAATTTGTTCAGTATTCTACTATATACTACGATTATTAATAGATCTTTTTTGTATTTTGCGTTTATGTAAGTCATTCTATTTTGGATAAAACTCTAAAATGTTCTTTAAAATGTTGACCAAAATATTGACTTATTCAGGGCTTCACTCACATATAAGAAAAATATTAATTTATTAAAACCTTGACTATAATAAAAAAATTTAGTTTTAACATTACATTACATTCTTTTGCACATTAGAGACAACTTGAGTATAATAGAAAATATTTATCAACTTTATACTTTTTTTTGAGCAATATGAAAAATAAAAAGTTATTAAATTAAAGAAAATATTAGGATAATAATATTAGGATAATAATATCCTTTATTTCAATGTAATAAATATGTGAAATTATATAACATTAAATTATAGTATCAAAAAAACTTTATTTTAATCTTTCTATGAATTATTTCTATTAACGGAGATAATATTAAACAGTGATTTTTTATTTATTTTTAAATACTTGTATCTCTCATTTGCTGAAGTATATTATATACCGAATATGATGTCTTCAGTAACTAAAATAAACAAAATTATAAATTAGTTATCTTTTCTTATTTTAGAATTGTTTAATAATATATCACTATTGCATTATCATAAAGACATAATTAGATTGCTGTTAATATATATATTTCAATAAATTTGTATATATTTGTATAAAATTATACTAACATCTACAAACGAATCAAGGTTCATAGGGATAACGTAGGCACTCGTAAATTCAATAGGAATGGTACCACATCTTGTGATTATTAATAAATCTTTCCTTACATCCGGTTCTAATTGGAGCCATTCTATCTCGAATACATCATTTATTACTTTTATACTCTATAAGGATATTATTAAAGGATATTATTAAGAATTCAAAGTATTCATTCATTCATTTTGAATATAAAAAAATGTGAAATTTCTCAATTAGCATTATAATATTTTTAATATATTATTTTGTATATATTAAGATGTAAATATTAAAACAATAACTGAGAAAAATGTTGTACACAATAATATAATAATTATATGCTGTGATTTAAATCTTGTATTTGAATAATATTAAAAAAATAAAACGTTCATCTTTATCCAAATGTGCATAAGAAATAATGACAAACATTTTTAATTGTTTTTATCTATAACAAAACAAGTAGACTGAACACACACAAAATAAATTCAGATAACATACCTTTAGTCTGACTTCATTCCCGTACCAACAGTACAAAAAGATTTGAATTAGCATACACGACATGTACAAGCCTAATTGGATGATATTTGCATCTGTTTTGGTCAGTTGGTACAGAATAACGCACACCACTAATGTGCTTACAATAAATTGTAAGGTAATAATCAATCTAAACTTTTCATTCACCAAAAGTGCAAATCTAAAGTCAATCAAATATGTTTATATTTCATATATATTTAATATTTTATAAATATAAATAATATATTTAAAATTATAAGAAAAACATATTTTATTTTTTAAAAATTTATATTAAGCTATATAATTATTTTATATTTATTTTCATAACTTATTTTTTATAGATAACAAATAAGACTATTCCTTGTGTATATAATCTTAAACAGCACAAAAAATAATGCTAATATTAATTATATAAAACAAACTTGATTAAAAGATTGTGTTGAATGACGCAATCGCGAAGAATTTTTGGATTGTGTATGATTCTTTTCAAACGAGAATTCAATATCTCTATTTGACAACATATGTGCATCAGTAATCCGCATATCATACTGTCACAAGCAACTTGTAAAAGAGCCGCAACAAGCAAAGCTATTAATTGATGAAAATACATAAAATGAAAAAGCACTGTTGTTGAGTAGTCGAACGGTAACCATGCTCTAAATGCTAATTTTTCCTTCAAGTAGGCCGTGAAAAATGATTGTATCACCGAGTACGTGCATGAAAATTCAATTAAAATCGCATAATGCAGCGTGTTCCCCCTGTAAAGAACTAGAGATGGTTTTACATCTCAATTATTATATAATAATTTTATCAATATTATCTGTTGCACTTTTAAAATAAAGAAACTTCTTTTCAAAAAACTTACCAATCAAAATTTGCTAAATAAATTTGACAGAAAACAAAATACATTGTAAAACTGGAGTGCCATTTGTAATATCTTTTATAAATAATATAAAAATTACACAATGACGTTTTAACGTTAGAAACTTTATCCCCAAAAAATTATAAATGATAATAAATTAATATAATATGTTGTAAAAGAATAAAAAAAAAATAAAATAACTAATCCTAAATAGATAGCAATTAGATTTAATTACAAATTTTTAATAAAAATATAGATTATTTAACTGTTATTTGAAAATTAAAATGTTGTTATATGTATTAAACAATAATTATAACAAAAATTACATTAAAATACTTACTCAATAATTTTATCAAATTTTTGTCGAATTTCTAACTCGTCTAATTCAAGTGGTTTACATGATTTCTTCCTAAGAATTTCTATTAGTAATGCGATATTATTACGATTTATCAATAGACTAAACATTTTAGAACAGGAAATCATCATGGCAATCAATATATAAAAATTATCGGTAAATTCATCTGCATTGTCCACGATCAGAACCAAATCCAAAAATTGTGATAATGTAAACGTATTTATTAATACAAATATGAAACCTGTATATGCGTAATATAGTACACGTTTATAAGGAGATGTCCAGGAATCCGGAATCCAACAACCGCAGCTTGTTAGAATTTTAAGCGTAAGTCCTAATACACGCATTGTAATTTTAATTTTTTGTCTGTTTTCCGTATATGATAAAAAAATAAACTGTTTAGCAGATATTCGCTCCCATTTATTTCGAAATTTCAAACATTGCAGATATATATATTACATATTAGATATATATTTCGTATAACAAAATTGTATGCACCAAGTTTTGTAACAGCTAACAATTAAAATACATGGATATCAATCAATAATTTTTTTCGAAAATATCTTTGATTGAAATCGTACGCGAATACAGTGATATAGTTTTCACAGTGAAATCTTTAAAGAGACTGATAATATCGAATGTCTATAGATGTCTATATGTCACGCGATTTTCTGACAAAGATATTCTTCCCCTTTTATGAATAACGATTTTTATTATTTAAATTGAAATTGTATTCTTCAGATAATAGTTTTACATCAGCTAAAGAAAAATACAAATTGCTAGATGTAAATTCTGTATCACAATATTCTGTGTGATATAAAGCTTTATGAAAATAATATCACGAATAAAATGACGTTCTTTCTAGAGTTTGAGAATATAAGAATTCTAAATTGTCATCATAAATAATTGCATATATTTTGTTTATTCTGAAAAATATCTTTATTTTATATCGAGTGTATAATAATACGTCGACTTTTCTTGTTTACATTGACTCTTATCAATTCTAATCAGATTAAAAAATTAAAGTGCCTTGGTATATACAATGTGATTGTATGCAAAATGATAAACGATTTTTATTTTAATGATCAAACGATTTCTAAATATGCTAATATTAAAATACCATTATAAAACAGTATTTTAATGTGAGTAAAAATTATTATAAAAATATTATATTATTAGTGCCGACAAAAGAAAATATTATGCAATATTTATTTTCTCTATATAATAATCTTATTTAATATACAAAATTATTATTTACCCTATTTAACAATCTATTTGTGTATTAACATATTTTTCACATAAATAGTAACACTATTATATTAACACTATTATATAAATATGAAATATAAATATTAATTTTCTTCTACTTATATCTTTTATTCCCAACTTTATTCCCGCATTTGTTGAAGTATATTATAAGCAGAATATGATGTCTTGAGCAACTGCAATAAAAAAAGTCATTTGCTTAATACATATTTCCATCATAAATAAATGATTTTTTTTAACAGAAGATATTTTTTAAAATAAAAGGAACAAATTTTTTATTTTTAATTTACAAATTATTTGTAATTAATTAAAATGACATATTAATAAAGTTAATTTTAATGATTATTTATAATCAACTATTTCTTTTTTAATTAGATTTATTATCACTTGCATTATTGTTATTGCACTTGCACTATATAAAAGAAATAAGAATCAAATTTAAAAAATAAATTTGTCCATTAATTTAATATTATTTGCAAATTTTAAATTAAAGAGAATATATTAACATTTACAAATGATTCAAGATTCATAGGGATGACATAGGCACTAGTGAATTCGATAGGTATTGAACTGCGTGTTATAATTAATGACAAACTTTTTTTGCATATTACAATCCAACCATATACCGTTCCGCTTCGAACATATCATTGACCAATTGTTGACTCTACATTTAAGAATACAAAGAATGATTTATTTATTATTATTTAGATAAGGAGAGAGAGAAAGAAAAAGAGGCAAAATCAAATTACATGTATTTTTTATAGGTTAATTTTACATTTCAATATAAATAACAATAAAAGTATGATAAAATTTATAGACTGATTTAAAATATAAATATACATCTCTTTTTCTTTCTGAAAAAAACTTTATTGTATTAAGTATAAATTAATATTTGTCCTGTAAATATACTGTAGATCACAGTAAATAACTATGATATTATATTATATTAATGTTATAATTTTCTACTCGAGAATTAAATTATTATATACTGTCATATAATATTATTGTTACTTTATGTTTATTGAGCGTGATATAATAATAAGATATAACTTTTACATTAATATTATATTATTATAATATGCATAATATGCATAAAAAATGTATTTTTACATAGTATGCAAGAAAAGAAACAGAATTTAAGAGAAAAAATCGATAATTTTATATGAAAGATATATTTATTTTAAAAGTGCATATCTTTAATTTAACTTCATTTCCATACCAGCAATAAAAAGAAATTTGTGTCAGCATGTAAAACATGTATAATATTATTTGAATGTATTTCGCACTTAATGTACTTTGTGTCAGTTGATATAGATTGAAGCACACTACTAACATACTTACTAAAAACTGGATAGTGATGATTGATCTAAATTTTTCGTTTATCATTAATGCGAATCCAGAATCAAATGTAACATTCAAATTCAATTTCTAAAATTACACATATAAAAGATTATTTTTATTTGTGTATAATAATAACAAAGAACAGACTTGAAAATGCATATATGTTGTACGACGCACTCCTGCAGAAAATATGGCTTATCTACAATTTTTTTCAAATGACACTCTACTATTTCTAGCTGAGAACAAACGTGCATTAATAATCCGCAAATGAGACTGTCGACAAGCAATCTGAAGGACCGATCCAGCTGTCAAGCTTATCGACTGATGAGCGTAAGCGATTCGAAGTAGCATCGGCGAAGAATAGTTGAATGGTAACCATGCTCGAAAAGCTAGTTTGTGTTTTCTGTAGTCTTTAAACACAGATGCTGCTAATGCAAATGCACATGTCAATTCAACCAAAGTTGCATAGTAGAGTGTGTTTGTTCTATAATATAAAATAACAATAGGCATTTTTAAATTTCATTTATTATTCAATTTTTTTTAATAATATTAAATTTTATTATTGATATAGAATTGCAATACTTTTATACAAAAAAAGAAAAAACAGTTTTGTTGAAATATCTAAAAATGTGATTAAATATAAATCTGAAAATAATTTTGTTAGACTATAAGCATAAGAACAGTATTGCAAATATTTTTTATATTCTAGCCAACCAATTTGACTTGCATGATTTTATATAATTTTATAATATATAATACTTGTATAATTTATACTTATATAATAATTCAATAAGATTATTTTCAAATTTATATATGATTAAATTTTTATATAGTTTAACAGAACTTGTTGTTTCTTTCTTTGTATTTAATGTCAACATGTAAAATTTCTCCTAAATTGAAATTATTTTTTTAAAAGATCGCATTATGTATGTCTGTATATAATATCTAATTACTAGTAATATGCATTGCGCAATATTTTTCATAACTATTATATTATTATATGTATAATAATTAATATAATATAAAGATGTGATTCCCTACATATGATTATTCCATAACTACTTATTACTTTATGATATTTGCAGTACAAGTTTATCAAATGTCTGCCGAATCTCTATCTCATCATGTTCAGTAGGTCTACATGGCTTTCTTCATTAGAATATCGATGAGCATTTCGATATTGTTGCGATTTCTCAACAAACTGAACATTTTATAACATGATACGAGCATGGCAAGCGTCACATAGAAATTTTCAGTAAAGTCATCGACATTGTCCATAGTTAAGATTATATCCATCAATTGTGTTAACGTAAATGTATTTATTAGCAAAAGTATAAGAACTGTATATACATTGTACATAATACGTTTATATGGTGATGTCCACAATTTGGTGGCCAACATCCGCAAATAGTAAGAATTTTAAATGTAAATTTTAAAACGTTCATGTTTTTTATTTCTCGTATTTGTTTACGTTATGAGAAACAAATTATGCAAATATTAAAATGTTTTGTATTATTTATTAAAAAATATAAATTTTATATGTCTTCTTTATTTCTTTTATGGATACTTCTCTCAATATTGTTGCTGAAAGTATTTTATTATTTTATCATAAGATATTATAAGATATTATAAGATAATTTTTGGTCACAAAATGTACATATATATTAAATAATTATGCGTAATTTAATTTTTATTTTTAAAAAATGTCTATTTATAAAATCAAAAAATAGTGATAGCTTTTAATTCAGTTTCTTTTAATTATTAATAATACGAAATATGTATATATATTGAGCACTAATAATACAATAATTATATTGCATTATATTCTTTGCAACACGACAACTAAAAAGATTGAACTGACAATCATAAAAGGGTCTATAGTTGCGTAATTCAACTTTTTATTTGTAACTTCCGTCTATGCATTCGACACTATATCATTATCATGGTATAGAACTTGTAATTTTACGTCCCTACATAGAACGATATTTTCGCATACGCAACGATTTTAAAATTCATGTTTTATACATGATGTCGTGTACTGCCATTTGTATGACCAACTGTCGTTTTACAGTTCAATATCATACAATATCAGCAAGCTATCAATTATGGTTTAGTAATATAAAATCTTGATGCAGACGTGTATCTTAAACCATATTTAATTTCGCTAATACAAAGTACGCTAATACAAGTACGGAACATTTTTTATTTTAGCAGTCATTGAATTATTAAATGTTTGTTCTTGTTAAAGCGGAAGAAAAAATATATAGTTTAAAAACTTATATGTGATTTTTTGTATTGTATGTAATAAAAGCGATAACGAAAAATTAAAAGAAAATTTAAAAAGTTGCTATAAAAAATAATATTAATCATAATAAATTAACATATAGTAAATTACACTATGTTAAAAAAAAAGTTAATCTACATTTCCTTTATTACTTTAAATTGTGCAAGAAAAATTATCTGCTTAAAATTAAATATATCACTTATATATGTCAAGTGAAATTTATCAGAACATATCAAAATTAACAAAAATAAGGTATATACATAATAGACATATATATATATATATATATATATATAGTATGCTATGTGTATATATTAACTGTTAAGGTAAACTAAATAAATTTCTTTATCTTTAATAACACTTTTTATCTTTATCTTTAGTAACACACAATAATATATATTAAAGGCATGATATTAATAAAACGAGTAGATCTTATTAAAGTATGTATAACTTTCA